AACATTTCACCTCCCACTTACTTCCCTAGTATAACCATGTTAGTACAACACGGCAACTTAGCTAAATTCAGAATGATAGACCGGAATAAGTAATTTAGAAAGAACTTCAGCTACCACAGTGCATACACTAACATTCATTTGTACAACACAGCGTGGTAGAGTAAAGATCCTAACGAACAATATAATTCAGTGGAGAGAGAGTGTGTATGTGTATGATACTTAAATTTTCATTCATTGAGTCTAACGCAGTGCCAGCAATTTAAATTACTCATTTCAGACACATGAAGAATGTACATTACGACTGGAAAGAAATGAATCACTTGTAACGGAGCTAACAATGCCAAGTACTGAATGATGTGTGGTTACTTTAATATGATTACCAACAACCAACTGTTCTTGAAGTAAGTGATTTTGTAGTATTGTGTGTTATGTCAAGTAAGAATATATTTTAAAAAACTTATACACGAATTCCCCATTACATATTTGAAAAGAAAAACGATAACCAGGCGAGAACAATAAAACCAGCCCATTTTCTTACTTTGCTGGTATCTTGTCGACTAGTAGAATGTCAAAATATATGGATCCATTGAACAATTAGCCTAAATTAATTCAATGAAAGAAGATAGAATATCAGTCAGTGGATCAAAGTGAATTAAAGTACGTTAAAGTTTCAGCTAATACGTAAATACATATTTTGATGGTTTGCTTTGTAACCAGCTGACTAGGTATCATCAAAATAAAATGAATCCATCTGATTCTGCTCCCGCTGTTGTTCTTACTCTTTTTAAGAAATAACTCAATACGTATCTGAAAAAACAGTCAGTGAGACACAAATGGTTCGATGCTGTTCACAGGATCCAACAACCTTAAGTTTTAAAAAGACAACGCGTCAGCGTAAAATGGAGTAACCGTAAATCTCTTTTTTATGTTCACCGATATTTTAGTCTGAATGTCAACCATAGTTAATTGAAAGCTTTACAAACGTCCTGATAAATTGCACAATACACAAAGTGAATGAATTCCATTAGAAAAATACAGTTTTCTTAATTTACTCGCACATTTTAATATGATCATTTTCATTATTACTGATTCTCCCTTTTAATAAAAATTCTTTTGTTAATACTGCCTACAACCATTTTAATGGTTGAGTAGACATATTCTCAGTTAGCTGCAGTGAGTTTTTCCTAGATAAAGTTCTTGCATACCATTTAGATCGCATGAAGGCAGTATATATTGCCAGTTGTCAAATGGAATAAGAATTAATTCGTATTTCCTCGAAATTTATTCTTTAATTTTTTGTTAAAATATTTTTCTAATGAATGTGCACACGCAACAATAAAATACAAAAAAGTCTCAAAATACATATGAAATTTTATTGAATACCATTCATACCAATTGCTAGTCAGTGTAAATTTTCACGCCTATTACTTATCATTAATTTCATATGCATCTCAGTATTCATAACAAAAAATGAATTGGTGCAACCATGTCTTGTTTGCTTCATTTGCGTGTGACATGAACGTTTAGTGCGCACTGACTGACATTATCCAATCAGATTATCCTAAAAATGACTCGCCATATTTACGACAGGATAAATCAACCAATCAAATGAATTCATATTTCACAATATTCAAAACAAAACAATATTAAATAAATATTTTCAACTTTTAGTCAACTAAATTAGCATCAACACGCATTTATATATTGTATTTCATCTGAAACTACAAGCGATTAGGACAGAATTCGCCTTGAGTAGGATTTCCCAGTTACTTGTGAAAATTTATCAGCTTGTTGACACTACACAGAATAGCAGTGCCAACAACAGAACCTATAGAAAGTAAATCACCAGAAACACTAGTTCTTGCGAATCATTTGAAGAAAGCTCAAAAATACATTTTATTGGATATATATTCAAATATATCTTTGAGTGAGGAAATTGAAGGAATAATTATCTTTTTAAATTATATATATATCACTATTTGAAAAAATTTATATACACACTTTGCACCAAACAGGTCTATACTGAAACAACGTACAGCAATAGACAACACAATGTCAACAACCAGATTTAGCAAGTCGATCAGCTGATTTAATCACGCGGGTCGGTAGAAGAATGAGTGTGGTTTTCAATATAAATAAACAGAATACCATGAAATGCAATGAAGAGTAAGTCATTTCTTTTTCAACAACAAACGAAACTCTTTGATATATGTTTAAATCGAGTGACATTAAACGTCACTTTAGCAACAATTGAAATGACCGATTGGACTTCTTTATTTTATGAAACTGAAGAAATCTATTTAGTTATTTTGACCGTTGCTAGTGTGGCACTTAAAGTCGCCCTTTAAATCAGTTTTTTTGTAAAATGAAAAATGAATATTTTGAGGAGATTATCACTCAAAAAACCATATTTTCTTTGAATTGACATATCATGATGTCCAATTTCTCATTGGCCAGTTTATTTTCATCAGAAAGTTTGGGTTTGAATGTTAAGATTCAAGTCAGCTCCTTTTACCAATAGATGAAGGTTGATGATAGTGAAGTATCCTTTAGTGCAGTATTGTCTTAGCAGACAGTTGAGTAGTCTTTCAGGAAAAGCAAACTGACCTACTTCTCTGAATGCTCCTAGTTTCTGTATAACGTGGTCAACTGCCTCTTAACAATCACCGTGTGATGAGAAACTGTCGCGTGAAACAAAGTAGTAGTGCAAAAGGAATTCAAGTGTAATATACGCACTTCATAAATTGAAGAAATATGCCTACATAATCAGTAATCGACCATTCATATGACGCAATGTCACCCAACAGCCTTTTATTGAACGTCGACTATGACCACTGTGAAACAAAACAGTTTCATTTTGGCCAAATATCTTTATCTTCTCAGCCTTCTTCTGAAGAATCTTCAATTATATTAAATAATTTTTCATAGTATCTGTCATTTTTGATCCTTTTCTGATTGGTGTAAATGTACTTTTTGGTAGGCAGCTGAGTGCTTTTGATAGGCTGTGTCAAAGCTTTGTTTTTTACCATGAAATGATCTTCGTATTAGTTTACTTTTAGAATAAAATATTACACTTTTATAATTAACATCGCTTAAAATCATTCAAATAATAATGCAAATGAAGATATTTTTATCCTAATGAAATAAGATGACACTGGAAATTCAAGAAAGCTATTATAATACTAAGAGAAATGAGTTTGAAATTCGAGTGAATTCCGAAATTCTGGTGAAAACCTGATACAATGTACAAACTCATCTATTCAGTGTCAATTAAAGTAGCAGTCAGTTTTGGAAGCTGCTGCCACATCATTTGTTACACAAGAATCTTCCAAGTTGCTGAATCTTGTTGTATGAGAGGTGTGTTTTAGCCACAAATTCATTGCATTCTCAAAACGTGTACACTAAAAGTTATTTTGCTAGAAAGTCGTGTAGTACAAGTCTTATCGGGGCTTGAAGGTACAGCTCAACGTTGACTGAAATTTTGATAGAATTTTTCCGTGAAATCTTCTTGATTACCCAATCAAATCGGTTATTGTTTTTTCCTTTTTATTATCTTACAGACCTGATTTTTACCTAACACGACAGGTAGGATTAATTAGGCTGGACAGAAAGCTGAATGCTTTGCAGATTTGTAATTTAGATATTTAAATGACCAATCTGCGCCTCTGTTGAATATTGTTTCCAGCATCTTTTCTGCAAGGTGAATATGAAGTAGTCATTTATCAAACTTTACTGAAATAAGAGTCTAAGCTCGCAGTATTGTAGTCTGGCTGATAGCTAGTCCAAATGCTTTAATATAAAGTTCCCTGAAATCTAAGGTATCGAGAATCTATCTATCGTTCTACACGAAGGAGGTTATACTTTTCCTGATACTTGCTTATCAGATAACTCACTACAACTCGAAATAATGAGGATTGATTAGAAAAATATTATTTTCATCGAAAACAGTTTTTATCAGATTTTTCTTAACATGGATGCACCACAGAACAAGAAATATTAAACCATCATACTATCTCCCATCTTTTTTGCATCAACATTCAAGACTACTGTAAGAACTTAAAATACCATTCAAATATTTCACTGCCAAAATGTCCAAGTTTTATATTCTTGTATGAATGAATATATACAAAGTCTTGGTCATCACTTAAACTAGTAGTTTTTCATAAAAGGAACTGCATTTTAATAGCATTTGTATTCACTCAATCTACTGAAGTAAAAAATGATACATGATTATTAAGTGGAGAAATTATTCTCTGGATAATCACCCTTATTTTTATTAAATGGCATTTGCAACCGCTAACGGAAACGTATAAAGAAATTTAGTTTTATCACAAAGGTATTTTTTCTTTGTATTTAGCACAGCGAAACAGTAGGGTGGCATTAAGAAAAGTATGTCAAGATTAAGGTTACATAGAAACATGAATAGGCAATACAGTATTCTATTCAGTTGTACTTCGGTATCGTTTGGCTCCCTTTTAAGCTTTTACTGCTTATTCTGTACATCATAAATTTATCTGTAGAATCACGTTGAATAAAGGTCATTTATTTAAACAAGTACTCAATGCTAAAAATGACCTGACACAATTAATTTTTGGAATACTTTTCCCCATACAAAAAAGCACTTGAAAATGTTACATACATACATACGATGAACATGAATTCCTGCTGGTTGATTCTTAGTCTCTAACACACCAATGTAGAGCACCGCAATCTTTTATCACATAGTTTGACGGCCACTTTGTGAGACTCCTTGTGTCGACTATGATCAAGGCTTAGTACTAGACCATTACATAGGTTATCGACTGGCAACTAGTTCAAAAAGTTCCAGTGGACACTATTGTGATAGGAATGGTACTTTATTACAACGCGCCTAACTGACAACAATCTACACCTGTACGATTAGTTTGTCGAACAAGAATATGTCGAGTTCAGTTTCCTTGAACTTGCTGTCATTTAAGTATTCTAAGTAATCATTTGAGTTGAAATTGTGGATTTTGCTCTTTTTTATTTTCTTTCGTGGTACGTTCAACAGTGGACTTTTTTTCTATGCTTAGTCTTTTATTTCCTCATCATAGACCAGTGTTATTGAAAGAACCTTGGACGTTTGAAAGCATACACTGACTTCTACTCCTAGTTCTAGTTCAACTCTAGTAGCATCATTGATGATTCTATCGTTCATTGTGAATATTCTGTTCACACGAACTGAAACTTATGCATTGGAATCGAAAACATTTAAGAAATGAATACTTTCTGAATAAGTCTGATACTAAGCAACAACATACACTAACTACATTTTGCTTTTTAGTGATCACTTATGAATAATAAAATGAATGCTTTATCTGTCTTCATCAAATTAACCACATAATGGTTAATATGCAACATCCTAACCCATTACTAGTTTAGTCCGCTTGAAGAATAAATTGAATAGTTTCACGTGAAAATAGTGTAATCTCTGACGATTTTTATAAGACCGATTCTCATATCCCTAATTTTTTTCCACTCTTTTCATAGTTTGCTGTAGGCAGAAAATAATTTTTAAAATTTTGAGTTGGTCGTTAGCTAAATTATGCAAAACACTGACAAACCACAATGCTTATTGGATTCTAACTAATCAAGAAGTTCTGAAAAATCACTTTGTTTTGATTTTTTACACCGTAGCATTGCACTGCCTGACCTCAGGATCTTGTGCAGTCACCAGGATGAAATCCAATCGTCCATATTTCCTATTTCTTTCAATTCCTAATGTTAAGAAATATCAAACAAGGTGAAAAAAACAATTCTGTGTTCTGATGAACTTGGTGAATGACAATTTGATTCAATATTCAAGTATTCTGATAAACTGCAACTCTGATTTCTTGTTAAAGAAAAATTAATTAATTCCATTTGTAAACCTCCTGAATCGAATTTCAGTTCTGCAGATGATTAAATTTCTAGCATATACTGAGTTCAAGTTATTCTACAATCTCAGAGCACCTTCTTTGCAGTTGATCTGTCTGTTAAACTTATAACTAGTCAATGGCTTTTCATTGGCTTTCAGACAAACTTCTCTACAAGCGATAATGAATATTCCTACAATTATGAAGAAATGAATCCAGAAGAATCTTGTTGGACTGAATAAAAATTTCTGGTTAGTATCAGTGTTCACTACTCACTGTCACTTTAATTTCCCGATCCTTGGCCATGTAGTGTCCGAAGTTTGGGTACAAAACTGTCACAAGGTAAAACAAATGAATTAGCTTCCTTGTAGATGATATAGTTTGTAAGCTCATCTTTGGAAATACATACTTAAAAATGTTTAGGTTGATCAAATCCAACAATTCTTCAGTTTCTTAGCAATATACCTGAAGCAACGAAGTTTTACAAGAGTCAAATAAGGACTATTTTGCCAAGAAACAACTATCAGATGAATCTATCGTCAACTGACTGTTTAGAATAAAACAGAATGGAACAGATGACTTGAATAAATAACAATATGTCAGTAGTCAACTACCTCCAAACCAAGCGGTTGAAGCAACACTTTTGAATCGATTAGACAACTAAACTTAACCTAAACAGGACAGAACTACAAAGTTTTTTGGTATTCAAACAATAAAAAAAGCTTTTTTCATGTTTTATGCTTTTGAAAAACTAAATGGACTTTGAAACATTGTCTACTACTAGCAGTCAGGTTTTGAGAAAATGTCTCTATCAAGCAATCTGAATCATAGACAGCGATTATTACCAACGCTTAACTAATTAATAAATAATCTTAATCTTTTTTAAATGCTTAGCAGTTATACGAAGTTGCAAAAATAAAACTAAACTGCATTCCAGGCTGACAGTAGTTTCATTCTTCCTTCTGTTTCACTTGCTGAACAAAGATTATTTTACAAATTATTGACAAACAAACACAATTTTTAAAAACGTATTGACCACAGATTTTATGGCAAGTCTAACTTTATAGTTTCTCCAAAAGTGTGAGTAAACTTATTACATTCATTTGCACTGAATAATGATCGAATCCACGTATTTGTTTAGATTATTCTATGTATTGAACATGCTGGACAGCACTTATCTACAAAGTTATCTGGGCGAATGAAAGGACTATAAGTAGCTTGCTGAAGGGATGAATAAAGCGAAAAGCACTGTCCAATTCGAACCGACCATGAATAATGACTGCGTTTCCT